CACATCAAGAAACAGATAGGTTACTAAAGGATAGTAGTAAGTTTGGGACATTCGGAATCGTACATTTCTTTGTGTACTTACTTATACAAAAAATTGTTCTAGGACAATATCCTTATTACTTATTCATGAACACAATCCTCGTCCACCTCTTGGGCCCAGGAAGTACAGTTTTATCGAGTGGTTCACTCTAAAGTATCTCCTTGATTTTCTTTTCACCTTGTTGCACAAACTGCGACACCACTAATCACATGATTAATCGTTTGTATACTTCTATTTTTACGTAAATTAAATCGTTATATGTAAACTAATATATTTTTTACCTGAAAACTTATAAATAACGTGTTGAAGGTATCCGTCACAAAAAACTAATGACTTGACAGATGGTGACAGATGACAGATAACATAGCTTTTTTTTTTAATATTCTCTAAACGTGACGAAGGTACTCCTAGCAACAAGCTATACTACATTGTTATATGAATGTCTTCGGACATTGAACTGAAGTGTAATTGTCTATGATTTGTAAATCTGTTTCGCTGTTGAATTCCATTATATTCTGTGGAAGTGGGTGACTGTCCAGTCTTGTTTACGAAAGATGGCACCTGAGAGGCCCTGCAATCATTTTCATCATTCGAAAACAGGGTCTACTTTTAGGGAGATAATTTTCGTTCCATTATTATTCTGCGTGTCGTCTTTCGTGAGATACTGTACTGTCATGTAGTGTAGCGGCAATTAGGTACTAATTCTTTCTTTAATTATAATTTGTATTGTTATTATTACTGTGCTAGGCTGACTGTGCTACATATATTTTTGGGAAAATTGGTCCGATATATCGATATATCGATGTTTTTTCGCGATATATCGAAGCCGATATTGATATTTTTTTTAAATATCGATGTATCGATATATCGATATATTTTTCAACTTTCGACATCCCTAAGGCGGTCAGCGAAAATTCAGATTTCGTGACGATTCCGCACCTGAGGTGAGGGGGGTGGCTATAATGTTAGTGACCACAAAATCTTAAAACAGTATAACTCATCGGTAGATGTTTTATTAACATGCACTATTAATTCCAATGATATTAATAAAACAAAACTATAACTGAATACATTTATTAAGTATAATTTCTTTGAATATATTTTATGTTTTGTGGGTTTATATACAATAATTGAATAGTACAAAAATAATATTGTACGCTTTCTTATAACATATTCTATACAAAATCTTTACTTATTAACTTAATCTAATACATTTTCATTAATCCTTGTTATAAATAGACTTTTTACATTAAGTTACGTTTCAAGTAGGTAAAGATAACATTCAATACCTCGTTAAAAAGTGACAAAACAAGTTACTTTAGTATTTAAATAATATAGAAACCGTATTACCACATTAAGAATTCTTATTTGAAAAAAAAATACCAATTTCCTAGAGTACATTCCAAAATTACTTACGGTTCCTTTTTAAATTTAATCTATGTTTATGAATAGCAGATACAATTTAATCTTTGTGCAATATTGTATTTTCTACTTGTTTTGTAACTGTATTGTACAATTAAGAGATTTTTCTTATCTTAAGTAGGCTGGGACCAGGTAATATTTTTTTAAATGTCAACTGTACAATCAACAGAATTCGCAAATAAACATATATGTTTTAAAATTGCTTCCTGTTTCCGATCATTTCTCTTCTTGAGATTTTTGGTACGCAAGAGCATAGCCTAAAAGATCAAGAGCATTTAAACATTACCACGGGTAAATAAAGATTCATGGCACTACTGGAAAGGTCACAATGATGAATGCTTGATACAAAAACAAGAAAAACTAATTTGTGAGACAGTCACAAATCAAATAATCCAAAACCGTAAAATATCTCCAATTTTTGCGTAGAATGGAACGCACCACGATATAAAACGACTGCACTGACTGTGTGGCGGGTGGTTTCCTAAGGCTGTATATTAATCTTAAGACTAAAGTGAAAAAACAGCTGTCAGCTCATTTTCGTTTGATTGTCCTTTCGGAAAACAGTATTTATTTAATATAACAATTTACTGTAACTAAATATGTAACGTTTTAATTTATTAGCAACGAAAGAATTTGGGTAATAAGAAAAGATTTTAAATTTTTGGTAAGGGTTGGTAACACTGTTTTATGGAGTGCATATAATGAATCCGCCGCTAGAGGCGCTAATATAGCGTGAGGTCTCCGAACTGTCAAATGTTGTTGCTTGTGGGTTGACTACGCGGGTTTATCTCTAATTAAAATAATGTTGTGAATATTTGGTAATGGCTCGGCTTAATTATGGCAAATATGAGTTACGTGGCAATAAATGTCAGTTATTTAAAAGCGGATATTGCACCAAAACCATTCCGGTGAAGAAGGGGTTCTGGGTTAAGAATTTGTACAGATTTGGTACATAAACGAAAACGAAACGAGCTTCTATTTCCAACTTATTTTTGGCTGCTGACATTGGACAGAAAATATTATAATATTATATTAGAAGCCCTTTTCCTAATATATTATTTAATCTTTGGTAGTATTTAGTTTTTGTAGCAACACTTTTGAGAACTTAAGTGAACGTTGACCCCCTTATTAACAAACGAAGAATAAACTTAGGAAAGATTAGTTACTTATGTTTTTATTTTTTAAGCATTTAACTGCTAGATGTTTAAATCTAAAGAAAAGTTTTACTAGAAAAAAATCCACGCGGACCAGGCAGCGGACGGGACTCGAACCCGCACCCTTCACAATCCGGGCGAATGCACTGACCAATTATGCTACCACGGCTCTGGTGGCATAATTGGATTTGTATAATCGGTTTGCGAAGGGTTCGAGTTCCGTCCGCTGCCTGGTCCGCGTGGATTTATTTCTAGTAAAACTTTTCTTTACATTTAAAGATTAGTTACTCCATGTTTTATCTCTGTTCATAGAATGACAAAAGGCATTTAAGTGATAGGAACAAAACAAGTCGTAACTAGTCTTAGATTATCTCTCTTTTATTAATAAGGGAGTTGTAGTATTGATTCTAATCTTACTCATAATGTTTGGCCTTACTTTTTCCGTATCATATTTATACAAGCGTATCTAAATTCATATTTTTCAATTATTTACATCTTATACTAAATTGTTTAAAGTACAATTGATTGATTGATTTCTCCAATATTATTTTGACTAGGAAAACATAAACGTCATTTTCACTCCAAATGGTAATGTTGGTGTGAATGTAACATCCTTAAACTAAAATATATAATGAATATAGCATCACACAGTATATTCTTATACCAAACTGGGCTGTTAATTCAAACGGAGACAATGGAAAATTTTACTATAAAAAACTGCACTCGAAACCGTATTTTCCGCTAGTCGAGTTATCTATCTCGTATTAAACCTGGACCATGCGGGACTTTTTATTATAATTTTCTTAAATTTAATTTAGTATTTAAAGAATATAAATAATCTAATCATTATAATGTTTAAATTTCTGTATTCAAACGTGGGGCTGTAGAGTGCGCTAGAGCATGACGTCACGTGTGGGCTGGCGGGCGCCACCAGCACCGTGTGGAAGTGTTCTGTATTCAAAAGTGTGGCTGTAGAGTGCGCTAGAGCATGACGTCACGTGCGGGCTGGCGGGCGCCACCAGCACCGTGTGGAAGTGTTCTGTATTCAATTGTGGGGCTGTAGACTGCGCTAGAGCTAGACGTCACGTGCGGGCTGGCGGGCGACACCAGCCCATGTGGAAGTGTTCTGTATTCAAGTGTGTGGCTGTAGAATGCGCTAGAGCATGACGTCACGTGCGGGCTGGTGGGCGCCACCAGCACTATGTGGAAGTGTTCTGTATTCAATTGTGTGGCTGTAGAGTGCGCTAGAGCATGACGTCACGTGCGGGCTGGCGGGCGCCACCAGCACCGTGTGGAAGTGTTCTGTATATTCAAGTGTGGGGCTGTAGAGTGCGCTAGAGCATGACGTCACGTGCGGGCTGGCGGGCGACACCAGCACCGTGTGGAAGTGTTCTGTATTCAAGTGTGGGGCTGTAGAGTGCGCTAGAGCATGACGTCACGTGCGGGCTGGCGGGCGCCACCAGCACCGTGTGGAAGTGTTCTGTATTCAAGTGTGGGGCTGTAGAGTGCGCTAGAGCATGACGTCACGTGTGGGCTGGCGGGCGACACCAGCACCGTGTGGAAGTGTTCTGTATTCAAGTGTGGGGCTGTAGAGTGCGCTAGAGCATGACGTCACGTGCGGGCTGGCGGGCGCCACCAGCACCGTGTGGAAGTGTTCTGTATTCAAGTGTGTAGCTGTAGAGTGCGCTAGAGCATGACGTCACGTGTGGGCTGGCGGGCGACACCAGCACCGTGTGGAAGTGTTCTGTATTCAAGTGTGGGGCTGTAGAGTGCGCTAGAGCATGACGTCACGTGTGGGCTGGCGGGCGACACCAGCACCGTGTGGAAGTGTTCTGTATTCAAGTGTGTAGCTGTAGAGTGTGCTAGATCATGATGTCACGCGCGGGCTGGCGGGCGACATCAGCACCGTGTCGAAGTATTCGGTATGCAAGTGTGCGATTGTAGATGGTGCTAGAGCATGACGTCACTCACAGGCTGGCGGGCGTCCCCAGCACCGTGTGGAAGTGTTCTGTATTCAAGTGTGGGGCTGTAGACTGCGCTAGAGCATGACGTCACGTGCGGGCTGGCGGGCGACATCAGCACCGTGTCGAAGTATTCGGTATGCAAGTGTGTGATTGTAGATGGCGCTAGAGCATGGACGTCACGCACAGGCTGGCGGGCGTCCCCAGCACCATGTAGAAGTGTTCTTTATTCTAGTATGTGACTATAGAGTGCGCTAGAGCATGACGTCACGTGCGGGCTGGCGGGCGACATCAGCACCGTGTCGAAGTATTCGGTGTGCAAGTGTGTTATTGTAGATGGCGCTAGAGCATGACGTCACGCACAGGCTGGCGGGCGTCCCCAGCACCGTATAGAAGTGTTCTGTATTCTAGTATGTGGCTGTAGAGTGCGCTAGAGCATGACGTCACGTGCGGGCTGGCGGGCGACATCAGCACCGTGTCGAAGTATTCGGTATGCAAGTGTGTTATTGTAGATGGCGCTAGAACATGACGTCACGCACAGGCTGGCGGGCGTCCCCAGCACCGCGTAGAAGTGTTCTGTATTCTAGTATGTGACTATAGAGTGCGCTAGAGCATGACGTCACGTGCGGGCTGGCGGGCGACATCAGCACCGTGTCGAAGTATTCGGTATGCAAGTGTGTGATTGTAGATGGCGCTAGAGCATGACGTCACGCACAGGCTGGCGGGCGTCCCCAGCACCATGTAGAAGTGTTCTGTATTCTAGTATGTGACTATAGAGTGCGCTAGAGCATGACGTCACGTGCGGGCTGGCGGGCGCACCGTCAGTCGCGCGTGGACACTAGCACCAGCAGTTGCGTCCGCCGCTGCTCCTGTTGCGCATGCGATACGCTTCCGCTACGTGTGCGGTTTAGTATCTGTCGGACAAACGATGAATCTAGTAAGTTTTTTGATACCATACAACACGATGAGCAATCGTAACCAGGACTACTACGGATTTTAGAATTAAAAATTAAAAGACAACCTTGGACCTTCTGATGTACTACCACCATACCTGAGCCCTCTATGTAGGGAACGTCTAGAACAGCAAAAAATATTAAAGCCATTAATTTTGGTGGCGTCCATATCGTCTATCTTTTGAATAGAAGTTACTAAAAGGTTCACGTCATGTATATGATGATGGAAAAAATATTGATCTGCCAATTTGCATGAAATATAGGGAAAACATATTCGTGCATATCAGACATTGAGAAGGGATGTTACGTGACGATTTGGAAGCAAAGAAAAAATCATGGCTGATTGTTGAATTTTTTTTATACTGCCCTATACGTTCGGCACTACATAGGCCCTCTATTACGTATTGTGGAAGTGCTTCTATGAACCTTGTCATAAGGGGGGCATCATGTTATTTTGTCGCGCTCGAGTAAATCCAAAAATCCCCGCTTGTGCTCCACTACCATAACACAATGTAGAATTTTGTCAACACAAAGGTACATTAAGAAAGACTTAATAACTGGTAAGTAACGAACTGACTGGCCAGGGGATAGGGGAACCAATAAAATTTCCAATAAATATAGGACTACATAAAGGATATTAGGCATAAATGTATGGGTGCTGCGCCACGTCCGCTAATAATACTGAGCAGTTCGGAGTGCGCGGTATATAATACTTACTGTAGCGGCGGAGTGGGAGCGGCACGCGTGCGTGGAGCTGAGCAGTTCGGAGTGCGCGGTATATAATACTTACTGTAGCGGCGGAGTGGGAGCGGCACGCGTGCGTGGAGCTGAGCAGTTCGGAGTGCGCGGTATATAATACTTACTGTAGCGGCGGAGTGGGAGCGGCGCGCGTGCGTGGAGCTGAGCAGTTCGGAGTGCGCGGTATATAATACTAACTGTAGCGACGGAGTGGGAGCGGCGCGCGTGCGTCGAGCTGAGCAAGTCAGAGTGCGCGGTGGAATCAGAGCGGGAGCGGAGTGTTCCGCGCGCCCGCCCGCGTCTACGCCCGCAAACCCAGCGGTACGGTGCTACTCTCCTGCAAAAACATTAACAATTCATTTACTTTTACCTATTTAATCGATCTTCCTCCCTATTTCAATGCATAGGAAAGGCCTGCGCAGGGAAAATTAACAGTCTATAGAAATCAACGCTTCATAATCATCATCCCCATCCCTATTCCATCCATAACCTTTCCTGTGGATGGAATAGAGATATTGAGCCATGAACCACCAGGCAGGCCATTAAAGCACATAATTATACATATAAATAAATTAACATAAGTCAGACAATAGCTAAAAAAGTTTCTGCAGTTTGTGTTGAATGTTGCTTAAATTCATCAATCGCAAACCACTTACGCCAATGAGCTCCTCATCGACGCGTGACCGCGGTTAAGTAAGCACATAAAATAAAATACATAACAGTCGCATTTAAAAGCTAATTAAAAGATAATAACACTTTTTCCAGAATAATAAGTGACCACAAACTATATTTTTTTTACGGAAAGTCGTTCATATGAAATATATTTATTTTATACAAAGCGCAAGAAATTACGTCATCCCAACTGATAAAGAAGTTTTTTTTGAAAAGATAGCTGAAGCGCAGATAAATTCTCGACCTTTAACTTACAGAGCTGAAGTGAATGTTTCATTTCATATATACCTATACTGTAAGTAACAATAGTTGTGTAGTCGCCGTTCGCAAATTTCAGAGGAGCGCTACATTTGAATTAAAAAATAATTATTATAACCGAATTCATGAAAACAGCAATGAACCACAAACATGCATAATTTTTGTACTTTCAAATGATCATGTTTTAACTTGGATTCATATCTGAGACCCTGCACTACAAATTAGAAAAACAGAGCTCTAAGGTATATCGTAACATGAATAATTTTCATTGCTAGTTTGATTGTATTACCTATAATACTATCCCGTGCTAATTACTTAAAATATTATTAATTTGGTTAACTCTTAATAACAATTATTGCCGTTATATAAATTGATAATAAATTTGAGAACATAATTAACAACTTCTATAATTAAGGGCCTGTTTCACAATCGCTGAGTATAGTTCTAAATAAGCTACTTGGAACTTATCAGCTCAGTAAACAAATAGAGATGTTGACTTAGACCTTGACAGGGTATATGCTTGTTTTAAATCGCTTTTCCAAAAAATTACAACATCTCTATTCTTTACTGAGCAAATTAACATACATAAAACTTTACTCAGCGATTGTGAAACAGGCACTAAATATTATTTAAACTATGTCATTCGAAATCGTTACTGAATATTATAAAATCATCCAAATAATTAAAACTTGAATGCTAGTGCCTTTTTACCTTAAACTGCTGTAAATATGTGGTGAGAACATGCAACATATCAGCGGATTGGCAGCTGAATTTAGCGGCGCTAAACTCTGGATAAGAGTAGCGATCGCTAAGTTATTCTGCGTCGGTGGTATGTGGTTATAAACTTGGAGTAGGTCGAAGACAATGTACGGCGACCAGCATAGTACGAACACTGTAATGACAAATTAACCATTGGAAATGTTAAAAATGAAGTTAATTTTAATTCAATTGTTACGAAAATAGTTTAACGTATAGCAGATAATGCTTAAAATATAAAAATATTACTATAAAATGAGTTATCAAATTAAATAATCAGTAACTAAATGAAAAGTATTAGTTATTAAAGTAAAACTATTTATGAAATACTTTGATGAATAAAATAAGTAAATAAATGACACCCGAAAATGATAAAAATGTGTTTGTTACTTTTTTGAGTTCCCTACCCAGAGGTTAAAAACGGGACCCTATTACTAAGACTCCATTCGTTCCGTCCATCTGTCTGTCTGTCACCAGGCTGTATCTCATGAAACGTGATAGCTACATACTAAAAATATTTACAGATGATGTATTTCGGTTGCCGCTATACAACACATACTAAAAACAGAAAAAAACGCAATAGTAAAGGGGGATCCCCATACAACAAACGTGATTTTTGCTGTTCTTTGCTCTATATTAATTATGGCAACAGGTAGATACTTGAAATATTCACAGAAAATTAACCGAGTCGTGTGCGAGTCTGACTCGCACTTGGCCAGTTTTTTTTTACATTTAAGCTTTCCTTAAAAATATGTATCATTTTGTTACTAACTTCTTGTACGAAGATACATCTTCAGGTGAAGCGTAGTGTAAAATATATAAGATTATAGGTAACTTACCAAAAACGATGACGAATGTCATTTTGACACTTTTTATTTTGGCTCTCGGTATGAGACCTCTAGAACTGGCTCGTCTCGAGTCTGGATCACTTTCTATATGGCCTGAAACAGAAAAATAGAGCAGTCCGTTTTAACCTCTGGTTTACACCTAGGTATTATACATGTTTTTAACAAATCTCTTATCTATTAGACAAGTCCGTCCGTCCGTCCGTCTGTGGTGCTGTTTCAGCGGCCAAACCGTAAGAAATAGATAAAGAGAATATTTAAGTTATAAGTTAAGAATAGTCTGATAAGACTACAAACCGGATTTGAGTAACGTAGCACTTCCGGTTTTCGAGAAATCACGAATCTCAAACGAAAACACACAAAATCTCCGAAGTTCTCAATTAATTAAATACATTTTTTTTTAAATCAGGTTTTGGTGAACATTTGGTTCACTGGTTTGCTAGTTTTATATAATGTCATTATTTTTTGTTCATACTAATATACAGAATTATGTTTTATACATGTATAAAACATGTATTATACAATACCTGCAACAAACTAGTTGGATAAACAAAACATGTGAAGTGAATAGTAATTTATTCTTGTAAAGACACTAGTTGACTATGCAGTGTAAACCAAGCAATGTTTTAAAGAGTCACAACAAGTATTCCACGAATTTTGTGTATAACTAATATATGACTTGTTTCTTGGTGTAAACGGGGGGTAAGAGTAATCACATCACTTGTGTTAAGTATGTATGTCTGGCAAGTTTACGATAATAATTTAAAACAGCTCGTTATTGGAGCAATGCTCCTTGTGAAGAAAGTTCCATAATGTTGTCACCCAAACCAGTAAAAATTTAGATCTGGGGTTGCTATACAAAATGTAGGGTAGCAGCAATATTAACATAACCATAGAATATGAATCAAAGATAAATGGTAATGAAATACTAAGTCGGTAAATACGGAAATAGCTTAAACGTGATCTCCAGACTTTATGTAAAGAATTCTGAAAGGACCGCAACAGGTGGAAATCTGTTAAGGTATTTATTCTGGTGAGCCTAGATTAGGGCTACACGGTGAATGCATTAACTTTGCCTAGCCAAACTTTAATTTTTTGCTGAATACCTAAGATGTCAACGGCCTAACGTTTTCATTATTAAAAATACCGTATCCGATTAATTCCTGTCGTTTTTGCTCAATTGCTTATTTGAGTCTCATCAGCTGTTTAGTTCGTTTACCTGGCAGGGAAGTCGTGTTTTTATTTTATTTAACCTTTTATTTGAACCCATAAATAGTTTCACGAATATAACTATCATTACTAGTTACTGTCGCCTCCTAAGCTTATACCAAGAAAGTTTAATTAGTGTCACAACATCAACACTAGCATTTATTTCTTGTTGCAATTTCAATTGAAGCTATTCTAAGAAAATTTTATTTGACCAGAATAAATTTGACCTAATGAAAAGATATTGTTATAGTAGACTCACAAGTGTCGCAAGGAAAAGCTGCTTTACGTTAACGAGGTAATCTTTTTACTTTTAATGAACTTATATGTTTATGAACTACATCCTAAAACGCATGATTTATCAAGAATAAACTTATATTACGGTTTCTCATACTTTAAGATCTCCGTGAATTGATAGATGGAATCATGGCGACTGCTTTACTCTTGTCCAAATAGTCAGTACTAAACGACATAGCAGGCAACTATAATATGATGAAATCTATTTTTATAAAAGCCTCGAACGTAGAAAGACGTCGCAAGCAACGAGGCCCATCCTTTAATTTAATATCTATTCATCTATAGGCCAAAGGGTTAGATCTTTCACTGAGCTTGGTGATGTTAGCTCAGGGGCCGCAGCCCGACTGTTTTTTTTTGAGTGTGTATACTGTAGGTCGCAGCATGGTTACCATCCGTCCGGATTTGTCCGGGCATGCCCGAACTTTTTGCCCTTTGTCCGGACTTTGTGCGGCTTTTTTTAATTAGATGGGATATGAGCTACTTATTAAGTTATATCAAATAATCTTTAAGTTCTCATTAATAATAAAACAAAATATAAATTATCTTTAAAAATCAACAACGAGACCCCCTAGAAAATATCACAGTAACTTAGTGGGTGATGTTTGCATTTTGTGTGTAAAATGTCCGGACTTTTATCGAAATGTCCGACTTTTTGTGAGGACTTCTCAAATTTTTAAATGGTAACCCTTGTCGCAGCTGACCTTTACAACGTCAGCAGGTTTGGGGTCGGCGAGATCCCAAAGATATTTGTCGGGCAATGTTATACTATATGATGTGTAAGCATTGCAAGCACCAAATTTCTTTAGCGCGATGTAGGCTTTCCTTACTATTGAGTGCACCGCCCGAAACGACATCTCTTGAGTAAGCTAGTGATTTCATCCAACAATATTTATCAAATCCTTTTATATTTCTACACACTGAAACGCATGCTTTATTAAGATTAAACTTGCCGTTTCTCATGGTTTTAGATCTTCGCGAGTTGATAGGTGGACTCATGACGACCGCTTTACTCTTAGTCCAAATGGTCAGGACTATGACAGCATAACAAGCAGCGATGGCCAACGCCGGTAACGCGAAGATCATCACGGAAACTAAAGTCACCCACACTTGCCAACGGCGTGGAGTGCCCAACTCTATCCAGCATTGGAGTTGGCCTGAAATCAAATTTAATTTGGTTTTATGAATTATTATTTATCTTGAAAATTTTGAAATTTGAAAGTAAATTTCTAATTAATCATCATATTAATGCTGAACCTTAAAAAATGCACAGGATGCGCCAGCTGCAAAATTTTCCGCACATAGTCTGTATCTACTCTTAATATCAATAATTTGATTTATCGTAATTTGTCGTGTCATGATCTATACTATATCATTAAAATCATATTATACTCTTTATTGCACACACAAATTGTAAGATACAAAACATAAATATGTGAGCAAAGGAGGGCTTATCTCTAAGAGAGATCTCTTCCAGCCAACCAAGGTTTAGTGAGAGAAAAAAGTAAGCGGGTGTAGAGATGTGCACAAAAGAAGTAGGTCTTTGGTAGTTCAAGTGTCTTCGTGTTGCAAGACCTTTTAGGACGAGGAGGAGGAGGAAGCGTTTTGAAACGGGAAACAAGGTAATGAGGAGAACTAGGATCTTTGAGGATTTTAAACAAGAATGATAGGATATGCATATCACGTCGAAGACGAATGGGAAGCCATTTCAATTGAGAGTGAAAAGCAGAAACTCGGACATATTTACGCAATCCGAATATGAAACGAATTGCAAGATTTTAGAGACGCTCTAGCTTATTCGATTGATCTTCAGTTACATCCAAGTAGCAAATGTCGGCGTAGTCGAAAATGGGGATAAGGAGTGATTGCGCCAGCATAATTTTGGTTTTGAAGGGAAGAAAAAATTGAAGCAGCTTGAGGGAGATAAAAGCGATCCTTATTTGCAAACAAGAAAAGGATCGACGACGATGACGACTACGTATATAATGAAAGTCATCTTGTACCCCTAAGTACCTAAATAAGGAATAAGCTTAGACTACGCCTAGCTTGGTCGCTAAAGCGACCAACTTCATGCTGTTAATATTTTGTGTTACAGTGATGCGCGCGCATCTTAAAATTTCACTCTCATCATTTTTTCATAACGCGCCTAAAGAAGTATAACTTCAAAAAACAAACAGAAAATAAACAGTAGACTATTATAGGCGATTTATCAAATTCAAAAACTTCTTAGATCTAATCCAAGGAATGTTAAAATGTGTTCTACCGCTTTATAATAAGAAATACATATTGAAAACAACGCTGAGAAGAAATAGTTTGGAGCTGTAATATCTGACTCACCTTGAACTTCTTTAACTTCGTACAGTATCAATATTGGAATGGAGAATATAACACTGATGAACCATGCTGATATAATGAGGACTCTTGCGCGATTCCCTGAAATAAACATAGAACATTGTCATATTAAATTGTTCTATCAATATCATTATTCTTAAATATTGAAATCGACTACAATGACAATAAAACCTAGAAGATTTAAAACATTGTATCAATAAAATGTTAAAAGTAATCGCTTATTTTAACTTTATTGTTGTAATTATTTTCACTTCATTATCATTATTATATTGGAAATGAAGCAAAGATATCAAATTGTGATTCACAATCTATACTTATAATAAATCTGTAGAGATGTCAATTCTGTACATGAAATATATTTTTAAAATAACTATCAAGGGGTGATTAGTGATCGATACTGATGCCAAAAATGCAATCAGTAATTTTTTTGTCTGTCTGTCTGTCTGTCTGTCTGTGTGTATGTTCCTTATAGAAACAAAAACTACGCAACGGATTTTAACGAAACTTGGTACAATTATTCTTCATACTCCTGGGCAGGTTATACTATACATTTCATCACGCTACAATTAATAGCAGCAGAGTAGTGAAGGGAAATGTTGGGAAAACGGGAGAAGTTACTCCATTTTTTAAGCTTCCGTCGTGGGTGCAGCCTTAATGGTTAAAGTTACATAGAAATTATGTATGACGGAAATATTCTACATAAAATTGTCTAAAAAATATCCCGCAACAGCATATATCTATCTTTTATGGTTGACTCACAGTAACACGTGTAAGTCCCGATAGCTTAGCAGTTCGGAGCATTCTGATCATATTTGTTTACTCTTACGTTTATAATACTCTGACTCATCCCTAATTTTAAAAAGTTAACATTATTACCTATTCAATAAAAACAAAACATAGAAATCGGTATAGAAACACCAAACTTATACATGAAATAAGCCATCGCGCCGTCGCCCGTCGCACGTGAATACTGAATCATGCTATAAGGATTATTTTTGTGTAACGGTTGCCGCGCTCGACACGGGTCGCGGCGGCGGTAGGGTATCAAATCGCTCCCCCCCCCCTGGGGGCGATCGCTTCCGATGAAGCCTTAGAGGCCTTCCCGGCCAGAGGCAGCCCCTACGGGTGTTTTTTAGTCAGTACGAGTCTGACATAACCTTGCAGCCGGCTGTGGGGTATCCATGAGGATTTCTCACCTGCTCCCCCGCCTGGGAGGTAACAAAAAAAATAAAAAAGAGAGCGAGCGAGCTTCAATATTTGGCTGTTGATGCGTTCAGAGCGTTCGACCTTATTGACAGACAATAATTGAGAAATATTGAGAAACCGTGCTTATCAGCGCGACTTTTAGTCTTTAAATAGTTTATTTGAATTTCTTTTGTTGTTATTTTGTAAAATAGGTATTAGTTGTTTTGGTAATGGTGGTGATGGGTTGGTGTTTAAATATTCGTTCAAATTATAAATTATTAAGCTTAGGTACTTTTATTAATTAAAGTAGTTATAAGTATTTATTTTTAAGTGAAGTAGGTATAGGTAGATAGTATTGCACAGCCGTTTCAGCTTTATTTTCATTTCTTTTTTGTTGTGAGTTGTATATATTTCTGATTATAATTCTATAAGAATATTTTAGTTTAAATAGTCACTTAGATTTTAAGTGTAAGGTAGCTAAAGTTAGGACCACGTATTAGTTGTTTTGGTAGTGTTTAAATATTCGTTCAAAGTGTAATTTAATCATATAGGATGAATGTACGATGGCCCATCGAAAAGGAGTAGAAGCGGTAGACAGAACTTTAAGGGTTATAAGACAAAATGATCGACCAATGGGCGGTATCACAGTTTTATTTTGTGGTGATTTTCGACAAACCTTACCGGTAATACCACGGGGAACCCGAGCTGATGAGGTTAGGGCTTGCCTGAAAAGCTCTTATTTGTGGCGTGATATACAATCGGTGCATTTGACTATAAACATGCGAGTGAGAACTGTAGATAACCCGGATGATCGTGAATTTTCTGATATATTATTAAAGAAAATACCTTCACCAAAGATACCTATCCACTGCTACACCAAGGAAAACTTATTCGGACGTCTGAGTTATGTTGTATAGTGCAATCCCAACAACATCTTACATCGTCAGTTTACGGTGACGTAACAAATATATTAAATAAGGACAATCCTTGGCTATGCGAAAGGTCCATTTTAACTCCTCGCAATGACCAGGCATCTGAGATTAATAATAAAATACTGTCGAATATCCAGGGGGAAAGCAAAGTTTATAGTTCAATAAATAGAATGGTCGATGAACAAGAAACCACTAATTACCCGATAGAATTTTTAAATTCTTTAAATATGCGCCCGGACTTCCTTCTCATGAAATTTGATAAAAATTGGCATTCCGATTATTCTGCTCCGAAATTTAAGACCACCACAAATTTGCAATGGAACCCAGTTGCAACAAAATGTAATCGAGGCTCAAATTTTAACAGGTTGCGGTGCAGGAGAAACCATCTTTATTCCCAGAATTCCCATAATAACAAATAATTTTTCATTCCAATTTAAAAGAACGCAATTCCCAGTATCGGTGTGTTATGCAATGACAGTAAATAAGGCTCAAGGGCAGACTTTTCGTGTTGCTGGAGTAGATCTCGGTGTCAGTTGTTTTTCACATGGTCAGTTATGTCGCTCTTTCCCGGGTTAGCAGTCCTAGAAATTTTTATGTTCACGTGCCGGACGGGTCAACTTTCAACGTAGTTTACCCGGAAGCTTTGCGCTGATGTATTTTCATTCTATATGTACTTAAGCCTCATGTGAAAGCGATCTAAACAATATTACCAATACATTAACATAATAACATACAAGGAGTTACACGCTGATGGTCTCGGGGCACAGTGATAATAATAATATTCTGCGGTTCCTTATTGCGATATTTTTAACAGTATTGTGGATTGACATATTATATTTCCCTACTAAAATACGAAAGTTAATCTGTCTGTCACATCAAAACCACGGAACACTGAGGAAGGACATATGCTACTTTTTTACGAAAATCGACGAAAATGCGGACGAAGTCGCGGGCAAAAGCTAGTTGCAAATAAAACTTATCATGAGTCAAAATCAGCCTTATGGTTTTGGGTCTGGGCCATCTATACTGTTAAAGTCGAATTTACATTAAGGGCATGAAAAAAGTTCCGTTGGCATTAATTTCATCAACAATTTCACGTGTTTACACGTCTTGTCGTTTATGCGTAAAATTGTTGATGATATCGGTATCCTCAAAATACTTTCATGCGATGCAATTCCAATAAAATAAAAAATATTATTTATCGGTGAGCTATTAATGTAATTGATACTTATAATAAACACACAACCAACATCGCGCAGTCGGGGAAAAAAAAACGATTCTTCTACCTTTCTTTCTTCATTAAAATGAAAGTTATTTTTCTTTAACAAAAAACAAATGAGCGGGCGGCGTCCACAATCTATTATTGTTTTATTTCAACCAAAATATTTTATCAAATTTAGGTTAATATTAAAAGTTGTAAATATTAACCTGTTTGATACATTTTTAATTTTAAGCATTCAAATTCGTGCGAGTCCGTATTCCTCCTAGTGCCTGCACTGCAAGGATTTTTTTCTAGTAATAATTTCTTAATAATACTTACAACTCCCAGAGAAGTTCATTGGGTTAGTGATGGCGTCACACCGATCTATGCTAAGTGCAACCAGTACATAAGTTGACGCGTACATCACCACAGCCTGAAAAGAGATAAATTATAATTTTAATGAGTCATGTTCGTCTCTGGATCCATGTCTGCGTCTTAACTGAGGCCTAACTGTTTTTTTTTGTACTATTGACGCGCTAACTGCAAGTGGACGGCACAATCGGTAAGCTATTTCCCTAATAAGAAATAAATACCAATCGAAACCCTTTCAACACATTTACTTAAAAAACTGCATTTCCGGAGGTTGTATACATTGTTCGAAAGTTCAAAATTACAGGCCACACAACGGAGCGTATGGTAAAATGTTTTACCGCACGTTTCCATACTCTCTCCTCCTTGGAAGTGCTCTTAATCTATACCTATGTCTAAAAAGATGTACTCCTAATTTCCACCACCTGCACGTGCCGCACTTTTTTATTAGAAAAAGTTTACTTTATTATTATACTAAAATTAGGTATTATAGATACTGTTGCTTGTTGTTGTCTACTTGCAAATATTATGTTAAAAACGTTGCATGACAGTATCGGAATTTGTATTCGTCTACTCGTTTGTAATTATCACCTTACCGCACTAATATCATAAAAACCTATTTCAATTCTATTTTCACTGATTTATGTAGGTATATATTTGATGCTTATAAACTTTAAAGATTCAATTTATCCTATAAAAATCTTCTTCTTCTAGTACCTCTCCGAACAGCGAAGGTTGGCAGTTAGCTTAGCATACGTCTCCTTATCCTTAGCGAGATGGAATAATTCAGCGGCGCTCGAGATTCCAGTCCATTCTCGTAGATTCAACTTGTCCTATAAAAATCTTCTCCTTCTAGTGCCTCTCCGAACAGCGAAAGTTCGCAGTCAGCTTAGCATACGTCTCCTTATCCTTAGCGAGATGGAGTAATTCAGCGGCGCTCGAGATTCCAGTCCATTCTCGTAGGTTCAACTTCTCCTATAAAAATCTTCTCCTTCTAGTGCCTCTCCGAACAGCGAAGGTTGGCAGTCAACTTAGCATACGTCTTCTTATCCTTAGCGAGATGGAATAATTCAGCGGCGCTCGAGATTCCAGTCCATTCTCGTAGGTTCAACTTGTCCTATAAAAATCTTCTCCTTCTAGTGCCTCTCCCAACAGCGAAGGTTGGCAGTCAGCTTAGCGTATATCTCCTTAACCTTAGCGAGATGGAATAATTCAGCGGCGCTCGAGATTCCAGTCCATTCTCGTAGGTTCCTCTACCAAGACTTCTTCCTGCGACCGACGCTTCGCTTTCCAGAAACTTTGCCCATCATTATTAATTGTAAAAGGGCGTAGTTTTCGTGTCTCATCACGTGCCCTAGATACGCAACCTTCCTCAATCTGATGGTATCCCAAAGTTCGCGTTCCAATAAAAATAACTGCAGGTAATCTAAGCAAGTTACCCACGAAACAGTAATTGGAACCTCTTGTCATTGACTTCCATGGCCGAGTGGTATACGCCGGGTTTTAAGGTGTCGTCTACTCGAGAGGTCTTGGGTTCGAATACCGGTGGGGCAAATGTTAGTATGATGAATATGAACATTTGTACGTAAGTCATGGGTGTTTATTAAATATATATTTCTAGATAGGTATACTTATATATGTATCAGTATATGTATTTTATCCGTTACCCTAGTATCCCATAACACAAGCTTTACAGTGCTTACTTTGGGGCTAAACCAATTGGTGTGATTATTGGAAATATTTTTTTTTTTTTTAATTATCTAGGAATGCTTGTAGAAATCATATTTTAAACTCCTGTATCAGTATTTCAAATAAAACCATAATTCATTATATCTGGTAAATACGAGCCCGCGAGTTGGGTCACTGTAATATTTACGACTTCCGAAGTTCTCAGTTACGCAACAAAATAATGAGGGCAATGATTTCATTTCGACGAAGCAATTTTGATCGTTTCGGTAAACTTTTATCGTTTTAGCCGCCGAAGTAAACCAACAAAATGTAAACATGATGAAGATGTAACAAAGCGCGTATTCAATTTTATTCAAAGAAATGTTTAAGCCAATTATGAAAATGTAAACACAAAATTATTGAAGTTTGATTATTTAATAATACAAAGTAAACAAATAAAATTATCCAGAAAATATAATGTTGGTGAGGTGATAAATTCGCGTTAAGCTATTTTCAGCTAGGAAAAGACCCTTTTAGTTGCAATAGTCGTTGCAAAGCCCATTGAAACTTTTCAAACTGGCCCTCGTAAGGGAAATGACCTTTAAAGGACAAACACTGACATGTCTGACCAATCCTTTAGTGTGAAGAGGTGACCTAAGGCTGCAGATAGAAGACGCGAAAAAATTCTTGCGGCCGCCGCGCGGCAACCGCGCGGCCGTCTCGCTCGAATCACTCGAATGCTTTAACATCCCATGTCTTGTGTGATGTGAATCAAATTGTGTATCAAATGTTTTAACATCCATTCGGAAATAATATGCGATTTGTTTTTCATATTCTCGCAGTTGGTTGTAAAGCATATGAAATTCACCAAACTCTTCTCGCCGTGCTACAATAGAATGAAACCAAAATCTTCTACATTTCTTTTTTTCTTTTTTGCTTTGTCGGTACAAGTAATATGCAATCATGATTTTCTTCTTCTTATATTCTATTTATAGTCAAATAGCCCATAACGAACACGTGTGATTTTTAAGAAAGACAAAGATCAACTGGAAATGAATCGGATTTGCAGTGGCGGGACCACCAGGCAGTGACCGCGCGGACGCCGCGCGGCCGACAAGCTGTGACATTTCGTATAAACGACCCCGTGACCAAAGTCGAGGTGAAAGGCGAAACTTTGCTCCAAGACACTGCTCGTCAAAAGGGGAAACAGAGATCGGAAGGTTGGTCATGGTTGGGTGACCATCATATAATATATAGTCCTTACTTCTGATTGTATGCTGCCGACACGCTATACCAGGTGCAGGTACGTATCTGGGCATTTTCCCCGCCACCCACGACAACGACTAACTAGAGCCGAGGTCCGAGTCTCAGAGACGTACACTAGCTAAGCTTCCCTCAGGTTCGAGTGTTCTAGAAGCTCCAGATGGAGAGGAGATTCCCCCCTGTGGGGAGATTCCACCCGCCTGGAATACCTCTAGAGGCACTAGCAAATTCTCGTCTTGAAGTCCCCTTAGGATCTCGCCTTTCCCATGCCCGATGACGCTGCAAAGGTCATCTGCGACCAACAGCATACACACTAAAAAAAATTGTAGCTGAATCCCAGTTGTATTTACAAATATTGGGACCTACTAATATGTGGCCAATGGTCGGTCCGAATCCCTCAATTGAGACAGGAAATAGCTGTGCCACAGTTGGTTTTTAATGTAAGTATTTACTACACTATGTCACTCGCCGGTCTCGTTTTGCTTCGGTGTAGACTATAGTTTTTGCTTAGACATATAACACATCACACTAATATTATAAAAGCGAAAGTTTGGAGATTTCACGTCTAAACGGCAGGAGCGATTTTAATAAAATTTGGTGTGGAGTAAGCTGACACCCTGGATTAATACATAGGCTACGTTTTACTGCGAGAAATATCCCTAATAAACCACGGGTAACTCCGCGGGGCACAGCTGGTTACTGATAATTTTATTATACTTAAATATACCTATAAACTTTCAGTGAATTATTAAACTGATGGTGATAACTTTTTGAAAATCTGTTTAGTTGTATCTGAGATTATCACGAATATAAATTAGGATACACGCTCAGGGAGACTTTGTTTTGTATTATTTAAGAATAATTCATTATAGATAATACCTCCATGGGATAGGGGATTGGGTCAGAGAAGGCAACGACGCGTAATTGATTCCCAATAAGGATCCCACGCCGCCACCGCCGGCAAATAGGGCACATCCTGGAGTTTTAGTGGGTAGGGCTAAAAAACAAGTTCAGTTCGCAACTAATTACGAAGCAAAAAGATTTATTCTTAAATATCAATTGGCTTTTGATCTAACAAATCCAGCACTAACATTTATTTCATAAAATTAAGAATTCCTTTTGTGTCCTTTCAATAAACTTAAGTAGTTATATTTTTTAAGCATTTAACTGCTAGTTGTTTAAATCTAAAGAAAATGTTGACTAGAAAAACATCCACGTGGACTAGACAGCAGACGGGACTCAAGTAGTTTTAATTAATTCTTTAAGAATTAAAATGCTTCATTTTTATTAACTAACTAAAGACTTTTTCTAGAAAATTTCCTACAAAGCCTAATAGCTTGGCCGGGTTAAACTTTATCTGGTAAAAGTATTCTTGAAACTTAAGTAATAAAGTGGTTTTCAGGCAGTTTGTTACATCTGGAGTTGTTTGTAATTAAGACTAATAATTTTCTCTTTTAAATTAGATTTTCAGTAGATAGGTACATTAAAGTAGCGTTATGTTGGTTGTATGGAGCAACACGACCGACGCGGCTAGGAGAGGAGTAAGCATACTCAGCTTTCCCTGTAAATTGGATATACAAACAATCTATTACCTCGTTTAAACTATGCCCATGCCGCTGCCCCTCGCGTTGCCGGCAATAATTCCCTAAATATTGCTGCGGCATGATTGAGAGAACTATGTGTTTACATACTGCCCTAACTCTCACTTAGCTGCAGAGTTTCGGCAATGGCAGACGTCGAAGTAATAACAGCGGCCGAGCTATATCTTTTTGCAATCCATAATTATGTTAGAAATTTAAATAATTAATAATTTTAATATAAATAAATTAATAAATATTAGTTATAATTTTTATTATTTTAAAGCATGTAACTGCTTTATGTTAAATCTAAAGAAAATATAACAAGAAAAAATTCCACGCGGACCAGGCAGCAGACGGGACTCGAACCCGCACCCTTCGCAAAAAAAAATCTACTTATATTTTCTTTAGATTTAAACATCAAGCAGTTACATGCTTTAAAAAAATAAAAATTATAACTATAATTGCTATTTCTTCTTTCAAATGTTTAATACTTGTAAAAGTATTCATTTGACATTGTGGTTTACCTATAATGCGAAGAGATGGCGCTGCCTTGCAGCTTAAGAATGGCTAGAGGAATTTTGACGCGGTCCGTGCGGGCCGCGGTAGCATAATTGGGCAGTGCATTCGCCCGGATTGCGAAGGGTGCGGGTTCGAGTCCCGTCTGCTGCCTAATAAATATTAATTATTAATCATATTCAATTAATTAATAATTTTTAATTTGACGTCTTTCTCCACCAAGCGCGTGGCGCGAACTAAGCGACGCGCAGAGTGTGAACACGCATTGCCACTCGCGCTGCCGGTCGTTTGACTTCCGCACAAAAAACCGCTCTTTTGGGGAGCGCCGGGCAGCGCGAGTGGCAATGGCAGCGGCATGACGAGTGTCGTGTTTAGATACTCGTCATGCCCACTTCCCTGCCCACTTCCCTCCTCACTCGCGCTGCATGTATTAGTGTGAAGGATTTGGCGGTGTATTATGTCAATGTCTTAGATTAAAACAAAAAGTTTTTGTTTTAAAGGGGCTACTGACATCCCTGTCGCAGGGTCAATCTAGGCCGCACGGCGCGATCGGGGCAATATCGGCTATACACATGCCTGCTATTCAGTATTCGGGTATAAGTTGAGCTAAATACACGCGTTGATAATGACCTCAGTATTATCAAAAAATCAGAAGATCGGTAGATAGGGCCCTGGCTCCTTCAATGGTGTTAGCGCGAAAAAGAAAATACTGGGTGAAGAATTGGCAACAGAAAAAAATGTATTGTAAATAAATAATGTTTGTGTTTTTTATCCAACATGTGGGGCCGATCTTTTTATACTTCTATCACTCGAGACCAAACTTCATGCTCATTATGATCACCACGCCATCTTGATAGAAATACGTGCGCTCCGTGTGACAGTGGGGTCGATTCTGGCGTGATTCTCTAAACTTAAAACTGAATTTAACATCAATCTCTCCTTTTTATTCCGTTTAGAGAAAGACAAGGATACGCTGTTGTCAAATTTAAGTTTAGGTTTAGAGAATTGTGTCAGAATCAACACCAGTACCAACCAACTGATTGAGAAATTACCCCGATTGCGGTACACACGCGGAAAGGTGCAAGGCGGCCGGGGCAATCTAGGAACCAAGGGTGGTCTCGCGGCCCTGCCACCCTGCCGCGCAGGGCCAATTTAGAAAATCGCCCCTACTTGCTTACACACATCATAATTAAGGAGGTAATTAAAGGTCATCCCCACTCTTACACCCTAGATCATCCTTGTGGCAGGGATGTCAGTAGCCCGCTTTAATCTAAGGTCATTATGTATACGTGTCGTAATAACAGTTTTATTTTTTACGCATGTGAGGTTACCAATAATGCATTTGTGTGCATCGCAGAAACTAGCAGAATGATTTAAAAAGTATTACGTCGCTATACCTACTCCTTTCCGTGTTGCTTTATGATTGATTGTTAAAAGCTTACCGCATTTAAGCAATAACGAGGAATTATTATACGTCTTATAATCTTTAGCCTATTAATTTCCCCACCGCTGCCTAGTAAAAAAAATAAAAAGTGTGCTAACGACAGTACATGCAGCCGGAAACAGCGTCCCGAAGCTCAAAATAATAAATTTTTGGTCAATTACGTTACGGGATCGTAACCGAAAGTTTGCAAAAGTTAACCTTCACAATAGCAAACCGAATGCACCAACCACTCATTGCGTCACAGGTAAATGTATATTAACAAAAAAAAATGTCTAAATTAAATTATTACTTAAGGAAAATCAGAGCCACCAAAGTTTGCATAAATAGAGGCCTCAACCGATTTGATTTGTTAAAGGTTTATTATGAAAGAAAAATTTAATAATATATTTATTATGATATGACTTTAATACTGGCCAGTGGTAAAGACGTCACGAATCCGACGCCATATTGTACTGGTATGCTACCATATTTTTACCAGGAAAATGAATATGACGTATGACCGAGCGTGCGTGAGATGCATTCGAATTTTATTTCTTTTTTATTTAAAGAACAACAATGGCATCCGAACAAAATGAATTCCTTTTAATTGATGAGGTGAATAAATAATCTTGTTTATTTGCACTATTTTTAATATTTCGACGATTTATGACGTCAGTGCACTAGCCAGTATATTTCGGAACAATTCACCAGTATAGCGTCGATTCATGACGTCATTAGCACTGGCCAGTATACTGGTATATATTACGGAATACACCCTTTGTTATAACAGTAGGATTGGGATTCAATATTAAATTAAATTAGTTCAGTTACCTGGAGGAATCTGACAATTTTGCACATAAACTCGCCCGCCAGCCACGCTATCGTGATCCTCTGTATGATGTCCACAAAAACATTTATCAAGCCAACCAGGAGATCTGAAAAGATATAAAACAATACACTCTTTATTTGGGCAGTCGTGTAAGAAGTTTAATAAGCTAGGTTAACGCTAGAGAATACAAAGACCTACATACATTTATTCACTACACACTAAGGCCCGTATAACAGGATGACAACTAAGGTGTTGATCTTTACTTGAGTACAGTTAGAAAGGGATGTCGCTATGTGCTATATATAGCGACATCCCTTTCTAACTATGCTCAAGACTATATCAATCACTGAGAATCTATATATATAAAACTCAAAGGTGGCTGACTGACATAGTGATCTATCAACGCACAGCCCAAACCAATGGACGGATCGGGCTGAAATTTGGTATGCAGGTAGATGTTATGACGTAGGCATCCGCTATGAAAGGATTTTGATCAATTTTGATCAATTCTACCCCGAAGCTAAGCGAGGGCGGGCCATTAGTCTTTCTATAATACGGGCCTCACATTTTTGAGAATCACACAGGGTGCTAACATTTTCCGGGATAAAGTAACCTTTGCCTAAATAAAACAAGTTTTAACGGGTTAGATGCACTGATTTTATTTATTTATTGACGATTCGCATCTTTTGCAGGAATGCGTCAGAATAATGACGATGACTTTATTCCAACGACGAATTCCTGCAAACGATGCGAAGCGTCAATAAATGAATAAAATCAGTGCATCTAACCCGTTGAAACTTGTTTTTTTTTTTAATAAGTGATGTGCGTGAAAACCTGAGAAACAAATACTTATACCTCTTATCGTAAATTACTTTAACTATGTATATTAAGTTTAAGACAAAATACTTCAAAGTTTTAACCCAAATTACCATAAACGTAAATAATGTCATATTGTCGGAGGAGCTTGATGGAGCAGGTAGATAGCGTATTCGGCCTGCGATCGTTGATGTTAAGCAACTTTCACAATGGTCGATCATGGATGGGTGACCGAAAACTTATTATCTCTATCTCCTCCGTACTTCCGAAGGCACGTAAATCCGCTGATCCCGGTTGCATCTGTAGCCGTTAGCACCCACCAATCCTCCTAGGCCCACGTGCTCATTGCCCAATATCCTTATTCCATTTATAGGGGAGACTTGTGGCCCGGCAATGGAGACGTTAGTAGGCTGGTAATGTCATAGTTGCGATGTATTACATCAAGATAAGTGTCTCAAGGCTTAAATTTTTTAATATTATAACGGTTTTGAAACAATTCATAAAAAACGACTGCCTACCCAAATTCACTGATTAAAGAAATCTTTGATTCAAAACTGGTAAAGTCAATTATAAAACGGGTGATCTAATTATTTGGTAGTCTCTTATTGACTTGGAGCTAGAATTGTGGCTTTGTAACTACTAGCTAACAGACAGACAGACACATAGGAAAAAATGTATTATCTAATTTTAACTGAGTTGAGATCATTCACTTTCCAAGTAACAATAAAGCATTTTAATATTGCTAGGTTCCACAAATTATTTGGCTTATTTCAAACAAACAAGACAAATAGAAAAGTCCCGCCTTAAACATACTCGTACTAACTTATTAGTCTATCACCCACCCACGATAGGTAGCAAATATATCGTGTCCGCTGATAGATCTTCAATATCTACGCGGGAAAGTGAACACCTGGCATCAATGATTTCCTCCAGCCCCCGTGCCAACGTTGGAGAAATTTACTCCGTTAAACAATTTAGTTTTTCTTGGAACAAAAGATTGTATAGAACCGTTACGTACTTACTTAAATTACTCTCAGGAAATCAGTGTTATTTTATATTTATGAAATGTTTTAATTTTTGAAGTGAAACGCTTCTTTACGAACGCTTGACTTGGTTTGTAAGCTGGCGAATGCGTTACGCGTTACGAAAAGTGTACGAAAAGTGAAAACTTCGAACGAGAGTTGAGTGGGGGATATAAGTAAAAGAAAGCAGTGCGCGCGTACATTTTCTTTCTCTCTTTCTCTCATAGCTAGTAAATGAAATATGTATATGAACATGCATGTATATATATATACATATAAAACTGGCGAAAAGGTAACTGACTGACTGACATAGTGATCTATCAACGCACAGCCCAAACCGATGTTATGACGTAGGCATCCGCTAATAAAGGATTTTGATCAATTCTACCCCCAAGGGGATAAAATAGGGAATGAAAGTTTGTATGAAACTTTGTCAATTTTAAACCGATCGGGCTGAGACTTTGAATGCAGATATAAGAAGAATCATAGATGAATGTCATTGTGTATAATACAAGCCTGAGAACAAAAACTGTAGTCTACACTTCAGCTCTACACCGAAGCGAAGCGAGGGCGGGCCGCTAATATATATATATATATGTTACGCTCAAAGATCGAAAACGCTCAGTGAGTGGAAAAATAGCTCACAACGCGTTGTGGCCACAGTAAAACATCCACATGGCGAAATTCGTGTTATGGCTCTAATGAAAACGCGCACGACGCGTTGTGGCAATCACAGAGAGACCAAATAGCGAAATTCGTGTCGTGGCTGACATGCTATTCGATCTCAACTGGCAATTAAGAAAAACCATGACGCGTACTGAGCATTGTTTTAACCATATCACGACGGACAGCTTGTAACTTGTCGGTGTCGGCTCGGCGGGTGCAAAGACGCATTGAAACATCAGTTTTATTCATTTCTTTTATGTTTATGAGAGTATTTTTTTTTCCGCTCACTGAGCGTTTTCGATCTTTGAGCGTAACATATATACATACAGATGGAGCTAAAGAAGTGTCACTTCAGTCGTGTGGTCATAAGCACACTCGTTTTTTTTCATTTTGGAGCCACAAATATCCGGTTGAAGGTCGCCAGAGGCCACACGGGTTGCTCCGATAAAGATACACTTTAAGTTTAGAAACCCTAGCAAAGCCTGTTTATTCGAATGGAAACTGTTAAAAGGGTAAATCTAATACAAGATTTTGCTCGCAACTTCATCTGTTTGGACTATAAAATTGAAAAGTCCTAGAGGCTAAACAAATCCGGGAAATCAATATGACCAAACTATTTTAATAGTCATCTACCTATTAAATTACTGGCTCTCACATAAGATAAGTAGAAATTGTAGATCAAAATCTCCTGCTGTCATACTTTTTGCGATACGATGCGGACGGGACGACGGGGCAGGATGAATTAATTTGTCGAAATAATCAAAAATCTCAATAGATATTAGACTTTTCTGGCACAAGCAATTCTTTATAAGCCTCTTACTGCCTGTTTTTGTTAGTACTTTGTATTATCCTCATCATGATATGTACAGGATGAACAATGAAATGGAGAAATTACTCAAAGGTTTTTAATTTAGACAAGCGTTCCAGATTTAACGGCACAGTAAGTCTGTCTCTTACAAGTCTGTGTAAGTGTTGCCGCACACGGGCCACACGCCACAGCCACAACCGCCGCCACGAGAAGCTATAAGCGGCTACTAAAGTTGCTGACGCCGCGACAGCGGCCGACTAAGGTAAGGGCGAGAGGGGTGGGGAATCGCGCGAGTGACGTGTGGCGGCGTTTTGTACCGGCGCATTAAGTGGCCGGTGCGGGCCACAAGAAGCGAACAACGACGATTTGTAGCGTGTGGCAGCCACCGGCGTACCGTGTGTGGCAAGTCCATATAAAATGTATGAAAACTACAAGAAATATGCCGGTGGCGGCGTTTTGTGGTTGTGGTCGGTGGCCCGTGTGCGGCGACACTAAGTCTTGTTTTCGGCTCGAAGAACCATAAAGATATTGAGTTCCCTCTACAATTTCGAGATGATGTTGTTAAATGATAGCTTGGTGATAAATTGATAACACTGATTATGTTGAAACTGTTATGCTTATTAGCACACGCGGTACATATGGCGTCCGAAAGTGAACTGATTTGCTTACGATAATAAAATTACATATTTACTAAATAATAATTAATAAAATTATAAATTGCCACGTAACGAAATATTTTGCGTGTACCAAACACCGCCTAATTAGCTAAACGTTGCATCTAAAAATAAACAAACCACCATACAAACAAACCGCTTTTCCCCGTTATTAAGTTAAAACGGTAAATGTCACAAACCATTCGGAGGAGTGGCTCCATAAATCGCACATAATTCGTATCACAAATATAGAATTATACCGAAAGAAATGCACACTTATTCCCGAGATCAAAGGTACGTTTTTCCATGATTGTCGTTAGATGTGGAAAAATAACAGTTGTTCCCAAGATATGCGTTGAAGTATTGAAACACGTAACGCACGCAGTAAAACCTTTTTCGGCTAAGATCTATGGACACTATACTTTAAAAGAAATTTCAACCCCAACATCCAAGTTAACGATTACACGCTCAAAGACTAGTGCAAAATTAAAAAGACCTCAAACAGATTTAACGTCACCCCACAAAAGCTTTTCTAGTTAAGCTATTTTATTTCACTAGACTGCATTTTCATTAGGACTCGGTAAAGCGAATTTCCGTTCTAGACTGAAAGTTGGCTGCAAGCCTAATGTCACCTCAGGATAACTTTTTAAAACCTTTGACAATTTTGGCACAAACAGCGCATCAGTGCCACAGTCAACATAATTAGTAAATGTATGGAAAAAAGGAGTCTTGTAGTCTACAATAAGTTACTTTCCTATTGATATTACATTTTATTAAAAAAAAAAAGTGCAGAATCGATTTTAATGAATTTTGTTACAAAAGTAAATGAAATCAAACGTAACGATAACTGCAATAGAAGGAAACTTAACAAGACTTTTCAAAAGTAGGAATAATTAAATGAAAATCTGTTGCCCTTAGGATAAAACAACAATCGTGTGATTGACTAGCCAACTTTGTATATATATATATATATATATTTTAACATACATCAATTAGCCTAGCCCCAAAGTATGTACTGTAAGGCTTGTGTTATGGGATACTAGGTTAACGGATATAATACATATACTGATGCATATATAAGTATATTTATATAGAAGTACATATTAAACATCCATGACTGGAATACAAATGCTCGTATTCT